TATATATATATGTTATACTATAATATAATCCTTTTATTTATTTCATATTCGTGATAATGTATCAGTTGATATGGATTGACTCTATTTTCTAGAAATTTCATATCTCTTTTATAATGAATGTTTTCTTTTTATACAATTTTTTATACAAAGAATATGAAACGCAGTTCAAAAATTTAATATTTCATAATCGTATGAAAAGTAATTATTATGTAAAGTAAATTACTATATAGTTTTCTTTTAGATATGCTTACACTTGTAATAATCACTTGTATTTGGTCTTGTAAAATATTTTAACCTTTTTAATCTGTATGTACTTGAACATTGCATGCTGTAAAATCAATGTAACTTTGGCAAAAATTGCAGCTAATGCGATAATGTGATTTGCACAACTTCATCAATTAGCTGAACATTATAAGATTCAGAAGTTCTGAGAATCATGAAGAATTTTCTAAAAAGACCTTGAAAGATAATTTAACCTCCGAATAAATACTTATTTACGGATATTCTATTGCTTCAAGCCAATGAAGAAATCTAAGGTATAATGCAAATCAGAAGCTTTTCTTGAAAAGATTAATACGTGTTTAGTTTAAGCGATATAAAATTTGGTTATTATATAGTATGATTTTTCTCAAAATCTCTTTTTCCGCATTATTTCGTAGGATTTATTTTTAAAGCTGCAATGGTAGCATAGCCCCTTAATGCAGCTCTTTTATATATATATATATATATGTATTATAATTATACTAACATATATATCAATATAATTGTATAAATATATTATAATAATTATACACTGTGGTTCCAAATTTGTGTTACAAGTGAAAATATGGTTTAAAATAAGACAAAATCGAAAATAACAAAAGTACGTTGGGGATCTCATTTTGAAGAAAATCGTGAAAATTTAATGTTCTTGAAAAACATGTACTAAATTCTGAATTTCAAAATTCAGAAAATTTCTTTTACTATAAGTTTAATAACTGTAATTTTAATAACACACTGTGTATGAACAACTTTTTATTTTTTCGGAATAAAATATTTATACTACTTTGAACATTTCCTTCCTTGTACATTATAAATATTAAACATATATTAAACATTTTACGATGTTAAATATATAATATACGATATACAATACTTTAATATTTAGTGAATAAAAATAAATATATCAAAAAGCAATAAATTGTACTAAAACAATGTATTAAATTCTTACAGAATAAAATGGATGAATCCTCCGGCATGTAGTAACGAAGCATATATACCTACTTCTGTAGAACACATGGCAAATGTAGCTACTCATGGGATTTGGGTTGTACCATCAGTTATAGGTAGCATGGAATTGGTTCGCCGCTCTATGACATGGACCCAATTGGTATCAGCTTATGTATATGGCACATCCTTGATTCTTATTTTTACGGTCTCAACATTTTTCCATAGTGTACATTACTGCAATAATAATAGGTACTTACTATTACATATTTTAATTTAATTTAGTTTATATAACTTTGTCCATCATTTTGTGTTAATGAAATAACAAATAATTATATTACAGACACCTTAAAGAAACACTTCATCGTTGTGATCGTGCCATGATTTACATTTTTATTGCTGCTAGTTATTTTCCTTGGTTAAATGTAGATCACTTTCCAAATGATGAATTATTATTTACAATGCGTTATGTTGTTTGGATTATGGCAATATTGGGTATACTGTATCAACAAATCTTCCATGAACAATATAAAATGTTAGAAACAATTTTTTATTTAATTATAGGAATTGGTCCTAGTTATGCAATTATTAATGCAGTAAGTATATAATTATACATTGAAAATAAGACTATGACTAAGAATGTTAGATAATAATGATCATACATTATTTAAAAATTTATACCTTAATACTTACAGTATCATCAATATAACATTACTGAATTAAAATTGGGAGGACTGTTTTATATTTTTGGCATTGCGTTTTTTAAATCTGATGGAAGAATACCATGTGCACATGCAATTTGGCACCTTTTTGTTGCTGTAGCAGCTGGTTTTCATTATTATGCCATATTAAATCATGTCTTTCCTGCAGTCTGTTTGTCAGATAATTTTATGACAGCAGATGTATCATCATTACCAAAACTGTTAAAATCTCATACTGAAGAGTTATAAAATCGAATTTTTTATTACATTAATTTTGTATCACATCAAAATTTTACAAATGAGAATTTTTAATATAAAATTGATAAAGTAAGTATTATTTCTTTTTAATCTTCAAATATTAATTTACAATTATGAGACTGAAACTATTAAAAGAGAGATATCTCTATTATTTAAATTTTTTGAGAAATAGAGATTATCTAATATGGTGAATGTACTAATTTTAAAAAGTAATTATATTAACCCTGCGGAGGTCGCGGTCGTAAAAATTCCTTCAGAGGTCGCGGTGTATTTGATAGATACAGTAACTTAAAATCTATACAGTGCTTATTTTTGCGAAAAGGCTGTATATGATAAATATATGAAAAGTCTTTAATTGTACTAAAATTAATATAAAGTATAATATATAGATATATTTACAGTATATATAAACTATATTTAAATATAAAGAATGAACAATTATAAATTTAGAAATATTTAGAATTAAATCTTACCTGTATCTGTCAGATCAACCACGATCTTCGGAGGGTTAAGTACCTGAAATATACATATAAAAATTATATTCTTGAATTGTGGATGTTTGTCAAAATATAACTAAAGCGGTAAAGAAAATATTCAGCTATCATAAAATTGTTATTTGTAAAATATGAATTTCTACGTATTTGTATTAGAAAAGTAACTTTACACGCTTTAATAATAGTTTTAAATTTAGATATAATGAAATGGAGTATTACATAATAAAACTACGTTCATCCGAACATATTGGGAAATAGTAATAACATAATTGGTTCATTGATATGATAGGAGTTTAGTGATTCTCTATTGCACTTATTCAAATAACTGAATTTCAACTCATTCCTTTGTCTCCTTTTTTTTTGTTCATATCTTTTTACGTTTTGGGATTTTGTGCGTTTCAATCTGTTTAAGTTATTAGAACATGGTGATGATATTTATTATATTTACATCATTCCATATTCATATTCATACACTTATTATAGCATTATTAGGAGTTAGGTTATCTTCTGTACGAAAAAACTTGTCAAACAAGTGTTGAATTGATGTCGATGAGAACACAATTTGATATTTTTATTTTCTTGCAGATGGACACATAGAAGACATATGTATGAAGGTTAACTACGCTTTTTTACATCTGTTTTTTTCTTTAATAAGTATATTTTACTTAGCTTCACTGGATTGTATTCCCAATATGGTTGATTTGTCAATATTATATTCTAATGACAAAGTTGATTCGCCCATTTTCAGTCGTTTGAGGATATTACATTTTTTACTAAGATTTAGTATTATTCTTTTTCTTTCCAAGATATATTGCCAAGATATAGATACATTAAATTTTTTTTCAATAATTTGAGCCAATTTTGAGTTTCATTGTTATATAGTATCGTCTCAGTAATGTGTTCATATTCCTTCACTGGGACATATGAAATATGTTCTGAATACGATAAATAGTTAGATAATAAATAATAGAAGATCAGCTACAAGTTCAAATATCTGAAACTGAGTATTAACTTGTATCTGTAAACAAAGTGTGATAAATGAAGATAAACAAAGCTCTACTTTATATATGTACTTTCTATATAATAATTTGATTTTATATAAAAAGTATGATAGCGAGCCAAAGTTTGTATAATAAATCAACATGTTAGTTAAATTAGAGACTGACAAAAATTGTTCAGATAAATGGAATCCTATTGTAATAGTAAATGATGCCTAACATTTTAGTATAAATTATTTACTTCCTGTATAGCATGTATTTGTATAGCAATTATTTTTTAATAATTTTAGATAGATTTATAATAACCTTTTATAAAAATTAGCTTTTATTGTTGGTTATAAAACCAATATTATTTAATTCACATAACATTCATCTAATGAGAAATAAATAATCAAAATTGTCTGTTCATTAACCTTCTGTATTTACAAGAATATTGTGCCAAAAATTATATCAAAATTGTACTGATATACATACAAATTATATAATTTCTATAACATAAAATAGTAGAATCTATATATAGAACTTATTATTTTACACAACATATAACATAAGAAAATATCTGTTATCTTATATTCTGTTGTAGTGTGTTTAAGTATTTTTAGCTACTTTTCTTATAACTTATGATTATGAAAATGTAATGGTAATATAATTGTTGTTTCTTTTCTGATGATTATTTTATTAAGGAATGTAATTGTGATGTATGTTACTAATACCATAAATCTATAAAATAATTGATGTAGTTTTATTATTAAACAAATTTTGGTTTCATTGCTTTATTATTTATTTGTATCTATATGTATATAACATGTTAGAGGCAAGGCACCTTCCTGCCAACATAATGGCAGAGAGCCCGTCGCTATTTAACCTTACGATAATTTATGATTGAATTGATGGCTCAGCAAGGACCTGCTTGCTAGTACTGGCTGGGTCCTTTAGTGAATGTTTGCAAAGCTGATAGCCGCCGAGCTATGGGGTATCGATAGCATGACTGTTTAGAGGATGCGTGAGAGTATTAACAAAATTAATTTTTAACATATATGTAAATAATATCATGTTCAAAATATCATTCATGATTGAAACATTTAAATGTTATTAAAATTTTTATTAAAAAAATAAAATTATAGTACAATTTTAGAGTTTACAGAGGTTTTTAGTAATGAAAAGAATATTTATGTTACATAACATTTATGAGATATTTATTAGATACAACATAATAATAATATAATCATAATAATCATATATGTTAGACAAAACTTGTTTTCTATTACCATTATCGTAGGGCCGCTTTTTCCTTCCAACTCTATGCTGTTTGGTCCGAGTATACGATCGCATTAAGAAAAGAGAGAAAAAGACAAAGACAACCAAATCCGGATTATTTTTATAGAGTGGCATTGCACAACGAATTCTCAATTCTCCATTGAAGCACCTTGCCACTAAGAGCCTTACGACCTTATAGTCCACTACAGGATTTTACTTAACATGTTGAGAGAAATGAACAAGAGAGTATCACTGAAGTATGTTGAAAAGACGGCGTGCCTTGAACAACAGTTAGACATTTCTGAATCTAAAGTATAAAAATCTTTACAATTTCGTGCACTCTAGTGAGCAGAACGGTTTACGCTCTACAGGTATCAACCTACTCATCTTCTCCTTAAAACTGCAACCGTTTTGTATGGCCTTTCTAAGATTTTGGAGAATTTCAACTTTCAAGAATTTTAGCTTCAAACAATCCGAAAAACTACCTCAACGTTTAAATAAAGAAATACGCAACAAGAAAATTAAATTGGGTAACAATTTATATTTAAAATTATAATAGATTGAATACTTTAACAAAGACTTGAGCTCTCATAAAATTTACTTAGACTCTGAGCGTGAAGGTTCTAATGATCCTAGTTTCTTGGTCGCAGAGCCTATTATCTGCTTGGATTTTACATGACAATCTACGAGTTATTCATTACCCAACAACACAAAATGTTATTAACTAATACTAATGAACTGATACTAATTACTTTCATTGGAGCTTATAATATTACAAAACGAATCATTTATGCTTTGACAACTTATTTTTCCATTGTAACGAAAGGTAAATACAAAATTTGAGAGTGATCACCGATATTAATGATTAATAATTTTAACATTTAATTAATAAATTTGTTAAATAAACTTTTGTTCGTTGTCTTGGCTACAGTGTTGTACAGTTAAATTCGCTGCGCTAGAATTTACCCTGCTATAGTATAAAATATTCACGCTAGAGGGAGTCACAAGCTCCTATACTGTACCAGTTCACACAGATGTAACGAAAGAGATTTGTGGTGCTTGAAGAATTTCTTATTTTTATGTGTTTAATGTAAGAGAAAATAGATAATCCAGAGATATATGTTAAGTGAACTAACAGTGCATTATATGCAGATTTATTGAATTAGTTCATTGTTGTACATAAAAAAATTTATACTTCGCCATGAATATACTTACATTCCATTTTTCCAAGCAACTAAGATGGCACTCCTATAATAGTATTAATGATATAATTAGACGATATAATCATGCATCAAATAAAAAGTATAATACATCATCAACAATCAAATCAAACAAATTTCCAGATTATAAAATAATTTATATGTTTCCTTATGCCATGTGTCCTTATATTTTCAATAAATTTAAGCGAAATTACACAATTACTGCAGGTGCACTTATACCAGTGACTGTATCTTTACAAATGTTAGATTTCATGTCATCCATGGAAAATTTAAGTTTTACAACTTGCAGTAAGTTGAAATAACATCTAATATTTTTATGTTGAATTTAAACCTTTATTAATACAATTCATTGTGCATTTTAGATTGTTTGTTAGTCCTTATGTTACATACTATTGGTTTTACATGTAATAATTTAGTTGGAACAATATATGTAAAAGATAAAGATGATTCAGGAAATCAAAATGTTATAATATCATATATAAATTATTGGGGTAAAAGAATAGATTTAAGGACAACTGTTGATGATATTATTCCTTTCACGGAAAATTTCATGAATACTTCTAATTCGTTATATAAAATCTTAAAAATTAAGTCTTGTAAACAAACACTGAAAGTGTATACAAAATATGGAAAAGTCACAGAAGAAGCTAGTTTTTCTAATATTTTTGGATAATCTCCAATAATATTTATTCCCTTGATTAAATAAATATTATTACTACAAATAAAAAACAAATTTATTTTTATCCTTTTTTCTACAACCACCTATAATGTGCATAAGCTCGATTTGCTTCACATTGCTTATGTAAATCATGTTTCTTTTTAATAACTCGTCCCTGCAAAATATACATTTTAGTTATATACGATTATAAAAAAAGTTATATATAAAAAAAAGTTAACTAAACACAATTTCATACTCAAAAAGAGGAATTCGTTTATATGAGAAAAATAATTTTTTGTCATATATACTATTTAACCACATAACAAATTAAAAAATTATTATAAATATACTTTATTGTTCGCATCAATAATCTCTCTTGCCAATACATCAGGAAATTTTTCGGTATTCCCCTTGTCTTGTGCACTTCGAATTAGCCAATTCATAGATAAAAATTGAGCTCTATTTGCATTCATCGGTACAGGAACCTATATATATTAATTTCTTATATTACGAATTTCAAATATCTATTTATTAAATTATTTATTTAATAAAAATTACATTTGTATGTGTACCTGATAAGTTATTCCACCTCTTAATATTTTCCGTAGCTCTAAAATAGGTGTACAATTTTCTACAGCTTGATAGAAAATTATTTTTGGGTCCAATATGATATTTTCTCTATATTCAGGTGGGCTATTGTAATATTCGTTCAATTTTATTATCTTAATATTTTCAAAAGTTTCATCTAATAATCTTCTGGCCAACTGTTTTTTACCTTCTCTCATAATATAATTTGTGAATTTTCTGATATGTACAGAAAACAGATAATACATATAAAATATAGGCAATCAATTATTTAAACCTAGAAAAACATTTTTTACTTAAATTAAAAATTTAATTATTTACCTAACCAGTTTATCATGAAATTCAGAACATGTCGCAGAAGTATAAGCTGGTTTTATTGGTACATGAGCAAATTTTTTATCTGCTGTTTCTTTAAATATTACTTCTTGCTCATCTTTCTTATAAATTGGTTCTACAAAATTTGAAGGAAACACACTATAAAATTGGACACCATATTCTAAATTGTGCCTGCAAAAGAGAATATTTTTATACTATTATATATTAAATATTTATTTACTGCAAATATTTACTGTAAAGCTTTAAAAGTTTAGCATCATGTAACAATAGTTACATATGATGATAATATGTAAAGTTTTAATAAAACTGTTAAAATTAAGTATTATCGATGAAGGTTATGTGATCAATTTCTATTCGTTACAAAATAAAATAACATGAATTAATATATAACGGTATGTATACAGTATTGAAATTTGTCATGTTATACCTTAACTATTACCTTAAACTAAATAGTATTAATGAATTAAATGTTCTTCCACAGAGCATCTTTATATATTTGTTTTGATACTTCTACATAGCATTCCGTGCAGAGCTTCGACAAAGATTAAGCGAATATACGTGTCAATGATGACGATATGTTACATGTACTATATAGTTATATTCACACAAACATTTGAGAAATGTAATTTCATTACATAGTGGTATTTTCTCAATTCAATAATTTTTATTATTAACAATGTCAGGTTAAACTTTACTTGGTTCAAAAATTGGTTCAAATTAAACTTTACTTGGTTACTTAGGGGTTAAAAAATTATTGACTTTTTTATTTACAATCTCATAGTTTTTGACGTGTAGAATCTGAAAATGCAAATTTTAAGGTGCGGAATCCATTGGTTCAAAAGTTATGACTATGTAAATTTGAGCACTTTTAGGATCTTTTATACTTTATTTTGACGGTATATTGGCTTCTACCCATACTACGTCCAATGAACAAACTGCACAAATGATGTCTAGTTGGCCCGCACAAATGAGCAGTACGTATAATATAAACAGTGTTAATAATTAAAAAAAAGAAACAATTTACTTTCCCATATTCGCGTCAAATATAAAAGTATTAAATATATGCGTACATATTTGATCTGAAAATTATAAGTAAGTTTGTTAACCTGTTTTGTTGAAAATAATTATACATATTTAATATCATTTTGTATCAAATGAAATACTATATATTATGTACTTTAAATAAATGGTGGAAGATTATAAGTAGTTCAGTCATTGAGTAAGTTCAGTGGTTTAATCTATATTCTTTATTTTTAATACTTTTATCGAAGGATGGTGTTACATACAAAATCCTAACTTCTCGATCAGTCTTCTATGCTAGCTGATTTGTAAAGCACAATTCCTGACATTAAAAGTCTTATCTCCTCCAACAGAGTTCCCGGATCTGTATATATGACCGTGGACTTTTCGGGTCGTTTCAACTAGCAATGTCATCAAATCAATGTTATGACGGAGTTGTCACAAAATTTCACATAGGCGATGGACAAATTCATCGTCATAGAAGTAACTCCTCCTCCACATCCAGTTCTTAGTTGGCCGGCAATTCGATTCTATTTTTTGTGTACATGTACCATCAGTAGCTGTAGTTAAATTCGCAAAAAATTAGTTTGTATTAATGTAACGTAACAGAAAATAAATATTATCCCAAATTAAACTCAAATTCAGCTACATACAAATTCCATGTTTTGCTTGACTGTTTTGACTGCAACCAGCCAGGATAAGTCATACCAAGCCGAGAAACCAAACATATGCAAAATACATACAGTTATACACATTTGACTGACTTATCCCGCCAAAATGATCGCCATCCGCGTGCAGTCAGTGGCTCTAGACTCCATTCATTGGACAGATCATAAGTAGCAGCTAATATGGCGTTAAGTAATATTAAAATACCCTAAAAATGCTCAATTTTACCAGAGAGAATTTCCTCTCTGCTTTCTTATCTTAGAATTTTAGTATCTTAAAACTTGCATCTTCGAATTGTATATATTAAAAACTATAACATTGCAAATAAAGAAGCCAATGATTTTTGTACCCCTAAAGTAGAGTTCAGCCATCTTTTTTCTTAATATCATACGTGAACTTTGCTAATTTACCTATATAAAAAAGTTATTAAATTTTTACGTTTATCTGCAATAAATTATTGTAAAGTTGGATAGAAATATACTTATTATTTGAATGCTTACGATATTCTACGAGTAGCGTAACAATATATTGATGATGGGTTGTGTTGTATAACAAACTGGATATTTTAGAAAAGAATTTAATTATAACAGCGTGCTGTAGGGAAAATTAAAAACGAATGTAGTAATATACAGCAATAAATTGAAACTTTAAATTCTACTTATCACTTTAGTTTTTATCATTTTAATATCAGTCTTGAACTAAGAGAAACGGTAACAAAACAAATGTGGTAATATCAGAGAATTCGCAAATATTTTTAATCCATAAGATATCATCTTAGAAAGAAGTAATTTTCTTGATAAAGTTGCTACTAGCGCCTACAATGATTGAGGCATAGAACTATAATAGTTCATGAATTCCTTCATAGAGTCTCCAGACTTCCAAAAACATGTATATAAAACGAAAATAAATGAACAAGTAGAAGCAATTCGATACATGAATTTTTTACCAAATTATTGAAGTTCTGATAGGGTATGGACTGATATAAACGTATCATCATTTTTCTTTTCCACTTACTCCCACATATTACATTGTATGGTACGTATGCCACCGTTGTTTCGATGATCAAATAAGTGATTGTGATAAGCTTATGGCAAAGTATACTTCTGTGATAGAGAGAAAGTCGAATTGCAATTGAAATTAAGTATTTCTGAAAAAGAAGAAGTAGGATTTTGTATACACTGTTCGCAAAAGAACGAAATTGCACAAATGGTGCACTCGCTGCGGAATATATATGCTAGATTGTTAAAATCTTGCGGGAAGGTCTCCTAAAAGGAGAGCCTTTAATAAGAAATTATTCTTTTGGTAGTCAGCTATTAAAAATATTAAATAATGACGGAGAATCGGGGGAATTTTTCAACTCCAACGAATCAAAGTAAGTTGTAATGTTAGAAAGTTAGTGATAAGTATACAAAAGATTTTATTTACATAACCTAAACGTTAACTGCATCATGGAAAATAACAATTTTGTTACGAGTATACATACACATACAAATATATATTAAATTATTCATGTTTGATATTATTAATATTTAGGTTCTAGCAGACCATTTAATTTTCAACATTTGGATTTTGGATCTATTAATGATGTTCAAAATGAAATGTCAGGTAAAGCATGTATACCTGTATTTATATATGTTGTAATATTGTAATATAATATTGAACGCACTTGCAAACGCACATACACGTGTATGTGCACTATGTATGCACTCATATTTATATGAACACATATACATTTCATTGTAATGTAATGACATCTATGTTCATTTTATAACAGAAAAAAGAAGACAATTCAAACTTAATTTTCAAACACAAGGAAGTAATATATCACTTAATAATTCAACAAACTCTTCTATTTCTAATTCAACTGGAAGTGCAGCTTGTTTACCAATGTAAGTTATGCAATAAATAATATGATAATATTTAATAAATTGTAGTTTTTAATTATTTCCTTTAATATAGCTATTTTTTTTGTTTAATCATCATAGATCTTCTCGTCCAAATTTACCTTTATCTTTGCCTAAACTACCAGTGAGACCTTGTACTGCAGTTCCACAAGAACTGCCTGATAAAGCAAGGTATATTTAAATATATTTATTAAATATACAAGTATTTAATGTTATTAAAATGCATGCTAATAAATTATATTTTAGGGATAAATTACGAATGTGTCAATCAATGCAAAGTACTGGAAAATTACAGCTATCACCAAATGTAGTATATGATTTTACAAGTGAAGATCTTCAAGATTTGGGAGAAATAGGACGAGGAGGGTTTGGTACTGTAAATAAAATGATCCATAGGATAAGTGATACTGTTATGGCTGTGAAGGTATATATAATTTAATTTTAGTATTAAAATAACTTTATTATTAAAAACAGCTTACAGAGTACATGATGTTATGTTCAATTATAGAGAATTCGTTCCACAGTGGATGAAAGGGAGCAAAAACAATTATTAATGGATTTAGAGGTTGTAATGAAGTCTAATGAATGTCCATGCATTGTGCAATTTTATGGAGCTCTATTCAAAGAGGTAAGTTTGTGATAGGTTTTTTGACATTAACTTTTCATAACTAACAATAAATATCATGTCTTGACTAGGGTGACTGTTGGATTTGTATGGAACTCATGGACACCTCATTAGATATATTTTATAAGTTCATTCATGAGGTATTAAAGGAAAGAATACCAGAACGTATTTTAGGAAAAATTACTGTTGCCACAGTAAAGGCGTTGAATTACCTCAAGGAAAAACTAAGAATAATTCATAGAGATGTAAAACCTAGTAATATTCTGTTAGATCGACATGGTAATATCAAACTATGCGATTTTGGTATATCAGGACAGTTGGTAGATTCTATTGCACGAACTCGAGATGCTGGATGTAGACCATATATGGCTGTATGTATAATAATAAATGAGAAGTATTTAACAAGATTTGTAAATAATTAGAAGTATTTGAATTTATTATAATTTTTTAGCCAGAGAGGATAGATCCTCAACGTGCAAAGGGTTACGACGTTAGAAGTGATGTGTGGTCATTAGGTATTACATTAATGGAAATTGCGACTGGTTATTTTCCATATCCAAAGTGGAATTCAGTTTTTGAACAACTTTATCAAGTAGTTCAGGGTGATCCACCACGCTTATCTCCTAATGAAAATGGAAATCATTTTACTATGGATTTTGTGAATTTTGTGAATACATGGTACATTGTTTTTGCACTATTAGGCATTGCAGAAATTTTGTTTTTGCATTATTGAATAATAATTTCTTTTTCTGTGGTTCTATTTCAGTTTAATTAAGGAAGAGACACAGCGGCCGAAATACAACAAATTACTAGAACATCCTTTCATCAGAAAAGCAGAAGAAGATACTGTTGATGTTTCAGCTTATATAAGTGGTGTTCTTGATAACATGGTTCTCAGGGGATTGACACCTTTTACCACTAATCGGCATTAAGTCGGAAGTATAAGATAATATTTGTACCTTAATTTCTATAAGTTTTCAAATCTTAAATTTGATTATTGTAAATGAGTAGGTTATTTGCACTCCGATTTAGTGTAGGTAGTAAAATTAATCAACGTCGATCATTGTCAATAATAAATCATTTTGTGTAGAATCATATTATTGTGTCACGAAGTTCTTATATACATAGTGATTAGAAGTGTTCTAATAACAAGTTGACATTTACTAAATAGTGTATAGAAGATAAATTCTAAATCAGCTTCCTCATTGAAACTATGATATGATTTCAATGAAATACACTTATAAAATTATAAAAAAAAACATCTTTTTATCAATTGCAATTATTTAAATGACGACTTGTAATGATGTTGAAGTTAAATTTTTTCAATAATTAAATACTTCAATGATGTGTAATGATATTATACATAATATGTTAAAGTAAACGTTATGTTTTAACTTTTTGTAACTTCATGATATAATA